TGAAAGAACACCTGAAGGTAAGAGAATTGATGTTTGAAAACCCTCGAGATATTGACTTAATGGCATTGCAGCTCTGAAATCAAGATGATAAGCTGATAATTTTAAATGCCTACAGCCCACCAGCAAGCAACACATGGACAAAGGAAGAACTGGATGACAAACGAGAGGGCCTCATAATGGTCATGAGAGAGATTATGGTAAGAGCTGACAAAGATAAATCCCGATTGTTGGGACTGGGGGACTTTAAGGCAATAGACTGGGAGGCTTACAAGACAAAAACAGAGGACATTTGGACAGGCAGATTTGTAAATCTCATTTTGTTGACATTCATGTATCAACACGGATGTTGATAACCCAGATGAACAAGCAAGGCCCCTAGGAAGCATGGAAGGACCAAACAAAAATCCACAACCAATCCCCAACATACATCCATAGCATGAAAACCGCAGCAAAATTTCACCTCAAAATATCCAGACAGGAACATGCACTTGCCCCATAACATATACCCCCACTGTACCTCGTAACCTGGTGGAGGTGGGGCCCCAATCTGCACTCAAGCATGGACTGGACATGCATGTGAGTGGGACTGGAGGGGTATAAATAGAAGATGCCTCGTATGGCCCAATAGGCCCACTGCAGTCACCTGTGTTCTGATGTTCAAATATATGTATCCCAAAACACGAACTAGAGCCTGGCCGAAAGAGATGCCAGACCGCATAAACTCACCTACAGAACATAGGCACAAATGTGTCACGACACAACGTAGCCAAGAAGCTTCCAGGAGCACCGCCAGTGGAAGAAGGCAGAGCTGCACAAGGCAGGAGAAGAGTAGGGTAGAGGCGAAGGAGCAGCCCCACACCCATACGCAGAGGAAAACCCAGCATCCTCCCCATAGCAGCAATCCAGAATGCCCCCAGGAGCTATGGGGCACAGACTGGAGAGTTGAGAAGAGCGAGAGGCAAAGCACCCGAGAGAAAAGTGACGCAAAACCCCAGCACATGTGCACGCCACCCATATCAAAACAAACAATCACGGCGCATGCGCAGCAGGGATGCCACATGTGGGTCGCCAGAAGTAGCAAGCTGAAGAAGAAACCACAAAATTGACAAGAAAACTAGACAAAATAATGTTGCTAACGACCGAATCCCATATAAAAGTACACAGGGCAGCTGCCAAACAGTCAGAAAGAGCATGAAGGAGCAAAAAGAAGCATAGCACAGCTTCCCATATGGGCTACAAGGAGCCCAATCTGGCAACCCTGTGCAGCGCAGGATAGTGCACGGAGAGAAGAGACAAAGAAGAAAGAACGAAACAGGACCGAAAACCGAGAAGCTTTGACAAGAACCAACAAGCTCCAGAAAGGATCAGAAGATGACAGACGCTCCAAGAATATGGGCAGACTCAAAACCCTCCCGATGCTTCTAGAACTTAAAGAAGCAAGTGCAAAGCACGAAGGCACATAAAGCAAAGTTGCACCCGAGACCAAAAGTCATGCAGATCCCCGAGAGGAGGGGGAACAAGACTGAAGGTCCATCCCCAGAAGAAGGGTGGAGAACGGACCCACCACAGGACGGACCCAACAGAACCAAGGGACAAGGAATCGATCCTGGGGAAGGGACCTACTCCCAAAAACATGTACGGAGAGGGGAGGGGGAGAAAAACCCCACTCCTCGTAACCGCAAGCCCACCCAGAGGGCAGAAAAACCCAGGCGGGGTCCAAACGTCAGCCCCTCAACAGCCCTGGGAACCCACTAGGAAGGTCCTGGGACCAAGCCATTCCTCCAAAGCCCCAGCCTCACAAGAAAAGCCCGGGCAACCAGACAAGAACTAAAGAGGGGAGCCCACTGGCAGACTCATACAACACAACTGGAGGAACAGGCTCGAATGCCTCCGTCGCTACCCCGGAAGGTGGAATCCCCGAGACCGCCCGAGTCTCAAAACCAGCAAAGCCCCACCCCGAGCCTGAACTCACAAACGGTAAGGATCCGGATGCAGGGAGGAAGGGGGGGGGGGAGGAGACCATAACAGGGAAAAGACAAGGGGGAGCAGAAGGAACAAAACCGAGGCGTCCAACACCCCCAAGCCCCGTCACATCGACCAAAATGGGGCAGCCTCGGGTCTCCTGGTGAGCAAACTACCTAGCGCGTTGCACCACCGAAACAACTTGCAATGCCCGTGCTGCCTGCACCCACATAATCAGCATAGGACTGGGTAATCGAGCCACAAATAAGCAACAAAACTCGCAGGGCTCCAGGCCGAAGGTGCCACCAACCCCACAGGCAACAGACGGAAGCAAAACAGTGAAAGTCACCCTGAGACAAGGGGACAGAGCAACCCTCGAACCCACACAAAGCGAGAGGGGGCTCCAGGGCCACATCCATCAGACCCACGCGCCCCCCTCGGGGTTTCCCAGGGTCCTGAGCGTTTACCTACAGCGACTCATGCCCAGGTAATCCCAGGCAGGGTACTGCTAACTGGCGCCCACAAATACCCAACAACTTTCTAAGAACTGAACCCCGGGGATGCGTACACTCACGGGGACCTAGCAGGGAACCACTGGAAGAAGGAAGATTACTCAGTACACAGGGGGCAAGAACCAAGGCAGATCCCCCCCCCCACCAGGCAGAGAAACAAAAAGAAAAAGAAAACCCTGCAAGAGGACAGGGTAAAAGGGGCGGAACAGAGCCAGCCGCTATAATTGGTGAAAAGAAGCTGCACAGTATCCTGCGCTCTTACCAGTGAAAACTGCCCCCTACCCCAAGGCGAACAAGGGAGACAGAACATCCTAGCACACATGGGGCGGCCAAAAACCAAGCAGTAAATGGCCTAGCAGGGGCAGAACCCATGGAACTTGTGGAAGGTAACCCCAAGCCCCAAGGGCAGTACTTACAGGGCACTTAGGGAAGGAAACCCTAGGCGCATGCAGCCCAAGTACTGGAGAATCACTCCCGGCTCACGCACCACCTAGAAGACAGTCACCACACTCTAGGTACAGTGCTGAAACAACCACCTGAGCCAGAGCACATGACCTCAGCCACTAGCATCAGCCTTAGAACTGATGGGTGGATAGCGGGTGTGAGGGGTCGGCATCTTCCCCCTCCCGAGGAGGTTGGAGATTCGCAGACAGTGGCACGACGACGTGTGATGCCATGATCGTTTGCCCGTTTCTTTTAGGGGAGTTCTATCCACTTGTTCGGCTTTTGGTAGCAATATTTTCACCAGAATAGGGGTTTGTTTTGGGATGCTTACCTTTCTGGGTGCCTGACCCGGTCGATGGCAGACATAGAATGCTTCCAACCACACGGGGGTTTCTACAGGCCATTGCTCCCCTTGCCTCTCTGAGGGGGCCAGGTTCTGGCTCGTGGTCCCCAGTAGGCCCACAGAACTCCATACACATGACTGATGCCAAAGTCTGACATTAGCATATCAGCCTAGTAAGCTCCGGGGAGCCAAAGGGGCTCCCCCCCCCCCCCAGAAAAAAATCTAGATATGAAAGGGGGAAAAAATATATACAAAACTATACAAAACAAACACGAAACATGTGCGAAACCTCATTCGAGTTAAGAAAATGTCATGACCGCAGCTACCTAGACACAGTTGATCGAAGGAGATAATATCTAGGTCAAAAGGACACACAGAAGCAGCAAAAATAGTAGATAAATTTGTGTTGTTAGTGGAAGGTCTTACAACCCAAGATAATGTCTGATTAAAGGAGAATTAGCAGGTATGAAAAAGGGGAAAGATGGACACTTGAGGATCCCCTTAAACAGAGGTAAATAGATGGAAGAAGAACTCAGGAATGTTAGGAAATTACAAAGAAATGAGGAGGGGAAATTATGGTCATCAAAGCAAGATCTTTCAAAGAAAGACAAATAGCAGATGAAACCACCTCGTTGAAGTAAAACGTTTAAAAGAGCAGGAATGAAGAAGAGAGCTATTTTTCTACAAAGTGATAGAGGTAGACAAGCCTGTAAAGTGGTGCAAAAAGACAAATCAACAAAATCACTAGAGAAAGGGGCAGCAACAAAGAAAAAAGGAAGAGGGAACATGCTCATGAAAATTGTATATACTAACATAGATGGAGCAAGATAAAAAATACTGGAGTTAAATGATATAACACAGTTGAAGACGTCATTTATTATACTGTACTAACAGACAAAATCTGAAGATGATATCTTAAATGAGGTCGTATGCTTGAGGAGCTACAGCACTCCATTTGGAGAAGAGAAAGAAAAATAAGGAAAAGTGGAGACATTGCCATGCTGGTTAAAAAACACCTAAAGGTAAATAAATTAATGATTGCCAACCCACGAGAAGTTGACATATTGGCATTGGAGATTTGTAATCAGAATGATAAACTGATGATCATAAATACAGTGTACTTCGGTAACTATACTTGGGTAACTACACACACACCCTTATCATTTTTGGTCTAGATTCTTGAAACACAAATGAGGATATTTTATTTATTAACATTAGAATTATAAGTGAAATTACATTTATAAAATAAGGTAGAGTAGCAACTGTGTGTTGCTGGGTAAAGGACGTGGGATGATAAATGTGAACCAAGCATTAGACCTGCACTTAGAACATTAAGGTCTTAAGTAACATATGAGGTAACAACCACAACTTGTGCCAAGCGAACCTGTGTGTATTTGCATGAGGGGTGTGTAGCAGCAGCAGCAGGCAGGTGCAGGAGAGGAGTCAGTGCCCGCCTGTTTGCCCCTTAAATACCCAGGGTAGGCCTGTGCCCAGAGTGCCCCAAGCACGTCAGACAAGATTGTGGCAGAAAGCACATTGCTCCAATCATTTCCCAAAAAAACCTAGTCACTGCAACACACGTCCATTTCCCAAGAATTTTGCTGAGTACTTTATTTCTATGGTCTGCTTCATTTTAAGCACTCAACTACACTGTCAAATATATTCACCATAATTTCTTCTCATGTGTTCCACACTGTCAAAAGAAAATTAAAATTGAGAGAAAAATGATGGATACATACCTGCACGAACTTCATATGTGGCACTGAAGAAGGCAACCGATGACACCCAGCTGGTTTTGGAAGCAGAGGCAGTGAACGTTGAGAAAGGTGATCGGGACTGTATTGGTGGTGATGGGTAGGTTGGTGAAGTTATGATGCGTCTTAATGATGATGTTCGTGAAGATAACATGTACTTTGATGATGATGGTGAGGACAGCATGTGTCCAGGTGATGACGACGAGAGGTACATTGGTGAAGCTAATATGTGCTCTGGCGATGATGGTGTTGGGGTGGGTGGTGATCCCAGGGGCACAGGAGATGAGGTTTCGTTGTCAGAGTTAAAATCATAAAAAACAGCATTATGGGATATTGTAGAGTGCTGTGTAGTGTGCGACTGAGAGGTACCTGGAGGTACAGATAATGTTTTAGCACTCTGAGCAGGTCTTTTAGTTTCTTCAGAAGAAACTGATAATAAAGATCCCAAGGAATTGCTTACAGAATCAGACAAAAGCCGTTGTGAAGCGACTAAAAAAACACCAAAAGGTGAGGGTGTGCTGGATGTGTGTGAGGCGTTATTTTTAAGAGATGTAGTCTGTGTTGTGGTGGTAGTGGCCGACGACTCAGGCACACCAGAAGACGTTCGAGGGCCAAGGTGAACCTCTCGAATTAAGAGGGTATTGAAAGTAGACCTGATGGATATTTCATTGTGAGAAGAGCGGTCTATTTTACAGATCTTCCATACTGTCCCACTCCGTCCAGCATACCAATCCTCTACCTCAACAAAATCCTGTGGGTGGGAGATGCATTTATTAGTAACATGCTTGGTTTGATGTTGGGTTAAAGGTCTGTATCAACAGTTGTTGGATTGTTTATGCAACCCATCCTCCTGTTTAGATAGTATTTTTTGTAACTATGCGCACCATAGTACAAACATTGACGTATCGAGAAGAAACTACTTTCTAATTAGGATTTAGAAAGTAGAATTTTGTACTAATCACTTTGAGTCTGAAAAAATGAAGCTAAAAAACAAACAAATATTCCCAAGCCTAGAATAGCATACGTGTACTATATTAGACCTCAGATAGCATGTATTAGGCCTAGGATGGTTAGGTGCAGGCGATGAGTCACAATAACATGACTGAAGTATGTTGACACAATCGACTTGAGAATGGTCCAGGATGGACCGTAACGCTATCGTCTCTTCATTTTCTAGTGTGTGGATTGGTCGATGGTTAGGTTAGTTTGTCTTTGCAACATATAGAGAATCTTTTCTGGTCTGTCCAAATTCAATATGTCAGATTTCTACTTTCTAATTGCGTTGAATGCCGGTATACAGTATGTACTATGGTCCTCATCGTCACTACAAGTACTTCCAAAACAGGAGGATGGGCTGATTTATACCACCACAAGGGCTTACTGACCAACCAGCAAGTATATATACTTTAGTAATGAACATAGTTAAGGACAAAAGTAAACTCTTTGTTTAACGTGCACTATTAAATGGGTGTGCATAAATTTCTAGACCTATAATAGGGAATGCCTGTCTGTCTGTCCAAGGTTAAAAGCCAGACACTTGGGGCTAGCCGCGCCCAAATTTGTAGGGAAAATGGTCTGGGGTACAGGAAAGACATAGGCTGGTCGGGGTAGGCCCAAGTTATATTCTGTTGCGTAGTGGTAAGACGCTCGCATGGTGTTTCGCTAGCACTTTATCCTGGGTTCGTATCCTGACCAGGGAGGATTTACTAGGCACAAATCCTTAACTGTAGCCTCTGTTTAACCCAACAGTAAAATGGGTATCTGGTTGTTAAAACGATTTGGCGGGTCGTATTCCGGCGAACATAGGATTAAGGACTTGAAGCGCTACGCGTGCTAGTGGCTGTACAAGATTGTAAGAACTTTTGTGTGTGTAATTACCTAAGTGTAGTTACAGGATGAGAGCTACGCTCATGGTGTTCCGTCTTCCCAGCACTCTTTGTCATATAACGCTTTGAAACTACTGACGGTCTTGGCCTCCACCACCTTCTCACTTAACTTGTTCCAACCGTCTACCACTCTATTTGCGAAGGTGAATTTTCTTATATTTCTTCGGCATCTGTGTTTAGCTAGTTTAAATCTATGACCTCTTGTTCTTGAAGTTCCAGGTCTCAGGAAATCTTCCCTGTCGATTTTATCAATTCCTGTTACTCTTTTGTACACAGTGATCATATCACCTCTTTTTCTTCTGTCTTCTAGTTTTGGCATATTTAATGCCTCTAACCTCTCCTCGTAGCTCTTGCTTTCAGTTCTGGGAGCCACTTAGTAGCATGTCTTTGCACCTTTTCCAGTTTGTTGATATGCTACTTAAGATATGGGCACCACACAACCGCTGCATATTCCAGCTTTGGCCTAACAAAGGTCGTGAACAATTTCTTTAGTATATCACCATCCATGTATTTAAAAGCAATTCTGAAGTTAGAAAGCATAGCATAGGCTCCTTGCACAATATTCTTTGTGGTCCTCAAGTGATAGTTTTTTATCTAGAACCACCCCTAGATCTCTTTCTTTATCAGAATTCTTTAAAGATTTCTTACATAATATATAGGTTGTGTGGGGTCTATGTTCTCCTATTCATTGTATGTAGTGTATCTATGCACACATTGTATGTAGTGTGACGTTTTGTATGACGTTCGTTTCTCATGACGATCACGGCGCCAGAACGGATTAAATTTGTTACTCGAGGTTCCACTGTATTGCCTCGATGAGAAGGTATGTCATTTGGATTAGCATATGTACTTGAGAACGTACCTGCAGACAAGGGCGGGAAGGTGAGGCCAAGGCAGCCACATGATGGAGACGAAGGTGGAGCTGGTGTCCCGGAGGGGCCAGGAGCTGCTGCACAAGGGTCACTCCGGGGGCTGGAGCCAGGGGAAAGTTGAGGGCGTGGATCCTGCCCACACCCACTACAATGCCCTCGTCACCCATGCCTACCACCTTGTTTTTGCTGGAGGATTCCACATGCACCACGGCCTGCTGCTGGAATCTTGTCCCTGTAAAATAGATGTTTTTATAGAATATATATTTATTTTATAAAATAGATCCCTGTTAATGTTTTTCCTGCCCGAAACGCTTTGCGCAATAGTGGCTTTAGGCATTGTATGTACTAGCTCCATCTATAAATCGATCAAATTATGTAAAATCTCTTGTATGTATGTACCTTACCTGAATAAACATTTTATTTTATTTATTTATTTTTATTTTTTTTTTGTTTTAGATTCAGCTACTGATAACAAAATTTTCCAAGCAGCATGAGGTATGGTGAGCCCCATCATACTCGCCTGGCACAGGAGATGTGCACAACACAGGTTACTATAACAAGCTTATACTCTCCTGTAGTAGGCAATGCCTAACATTTAGTAATTGCATTTTAATGTACAGGCAAGTTCTCCCATGACAAAAAATTGAATGCATCAAGAGGGACCTTTACCATATAATGTAGTTTCAAAATTATGTCAAGATTCACTCAATGGCGTGCATTAGCCCTATCACTTTTTTTTTAGTAAATATATATTAAGTTCTAAATTATTTGAACCAAGACAGTTGTTAACCCTTAAATGGCGCATAGCTATATACCATTTGACACCCACAGGCGCACATATATATATATTATTATATATATATATATATATATATATATATATATATATATATATATATATATATATATATATATATATATATATATATATATATATATATATATATATATATAAAAATTCTTCCTAACCTACTAATTTGTGTTCACTGATCACGGGAAAAATAATAAAAAAAATCCTAAGTGGCATATATTGCCGGCTATAGGGCGGGGAATTCTAGCAAAAAACAGGCGCTGACTCAGCGTGCGTCCCAGACGGTCTGTTGCTCGCCAGCTGTCAGGCAGGAGATGCCACAAAGATATAAATACCTAATTATTTCAATGTCTCTGATTGATTTTTCGTAGTTTTTTTGCTGTAATATTATTCAATTGTGTGTAGTGTGATATATTTATATAATAAAATGAGTGAATCATAGCTGTACTCAAAAATATGGTGTGCTCATTGTTGATTCCATTATGTTCATCAAACAGTGAACAAATACTTTGTCGGTTATTACACTATATACACAGGTTATATATAAGTATGTGCATGTTTTGTTCACCATAACAGTACATCTAAGCTTGTATGGTGAGTAAAGGCACAAAGACGTAGGACCTCACAGTCAACTGATGGCTGCCGCCCTCAAGGCCAGACGCACTAATATTTCTCCTACAACAATACTGTTTGTGGTGCTATTACGCTATATACACACATTATATATAAATATCTACCTGTTTTATTCACCATACTTGTACAAGTAAACTGGTATGGTGCCCAAAGACCATCGTGGTCATCAGTAAACAACATGGTAAGTCCTGCAGATGACGCTCCTCCCTCACCAAAATGGCGGCTCCCAACCTACTCCTCTCGCTGTTTATACCCTCTATACACACGTTATATATAAGTATCTACATTTGTGTTCACCATAGCGAACCACTAAGCTGGTATGGTGAGTGCAGTCAATAAAAGGTGGCCACACAGTCAGAAGACATCGCCACCACCCTCCCTCCCAAAGCATTACTCCTCCCTCCATGGTGCACAGCGCTAAATATCACCACAATCCTGCTATTATCAGAACCCTGGTCAGTTTTATCATAGTCAGGGGTCTTCTGTAATAATATCATCACTACATAATAGCATGAACAAGAATATTATGGCATTTTTAGGCGATGCTGTGGTCACAAGCTGAACAGCAGTGCTGTGAGTTCATGCTGCGTGCGTCAGGCTTGGTTGCTCACTCAATACCGAGGCCAATAACACCCGGGAGTTTGCCCCACGATTTTTTTTTAAATGGCTTCTGTTTACAAGAGCCCTGATGAAGGTGTGGTGAACCCCGTGTATCCGCGGGCCGTTTAAATCTTGCGTAGCACTCCAAAGCATCACATGATGCGATGCGCAATTTACTGCAAGTCGGTCAAAGCATCATATGATGCGATGCGCAATTGAAGGGTTAAAACAATAAATCCGAGGTTCCCGTACAATGAATTAGAGCTTGCTAAATTTATTTCCATAGTCATATAGTGTTTTAACCCTACTGAAACAATGACCACACACACACACACACACACACTCAGTAATGACTCAGGATTACACTTAGGTAATTACACACTCATTGTGTAGTGTGGTGACCCTGCCACAAGTAATAACCAGACACACCCACTGTGTGGTGTTGTGACCCTGCCTCAAGTAATAACTAGACACACCCACTGTGTAGTGTGATACTCTGCCTCAGGTAATAGCCAGACACACCCACTGTGTAGTGTGATACTCTGCCTCAGGTAATAACCAGACACACCCACCGTGTGATGTGGTGATCCTACTTAAAGTAATGACCAAACACAAACACACTGTGTAGTGTGATGACTCTGCCTTAAGTAATAACCGGACACACCCACTGTGTGGTGTGGTGACCCTGCTTCAAGTAATGATCGGACACACAAATCAAATCAAATCAAATGTTTATTTAGGTAAGGTACATACATACAAGAGATTTTACAAAGAGCGATGGATTTATAGTTAGGGCTAGTACATACAATGCCTAAAGCCACTATTACGCAAAGCGTTTCGGGCATGAAAAACTTAAATGACTAAAGCTTAATACTAATTGAGCATAAAGAACAAAATGAGTTGAGAACAAATAAAAAAACCAGCGTTGAATGTAATGAAACGCCATTTTCTGGGTGAGCCCCGGAGGCTCCCTGGAGCTTATCGGGCTAATGTGTGTTATGTTAGACCGGGACATTAGCTAAGGAGTTCAGACCTACCAGGGACCAGCGCCAGAACCTGGCCCCTTCAGAGAGGTTTCAGGGAGCAATGGCCCTGGAAAACCCCATATGGTTGGGGGTTTTCCTTATCTGCCATCGACCGGGGTTAGGCACCCAGAAAGGTAGGCGTAACAAAACAAACCCCACATGGTAAGAAACTACAACAAAAACCGAACAGAGAGGTAGAAAACTCCCTACAATCCCAAGGAAACAAGCAAACAAGCAAACATCACACTTTACTGCCGCGCCGATCGTCCGCGCAGCCCTCCCCACCCCGGGAGGGGGAGGGGGGAGCCCCGGACCTACCGCGCCGGCTGCCAAGCTCCAGTTCGGAAGCTAAGCGTCAACCAACGCGAAAAAACCGCCGACCGGTGGGAGGGAGGGTTTCCAGGGAGCCTCCGGGGCTCACCCAGAAAATGGCGTTTCATTACATTCAACGCTGGTTTTCTGTGGGGAGCCCCTACGGCTCCCTGGAGCTTCATACCCAAAGAGAAGGAAAAGAAAAGGGCTAACCCGGGAGGCGGCCGCCACAAACTCTGCAACGCAAAGCCAAGACAACCGGCCGCAAACCTGCGACCCAAGGCAACAAGAACGCCCAAGAACAGACGCACACAAGGATGGGCGGCCAAAAACCTGTGCGACCCACAATTCCCTGCGCCCGAAATGAGCCCGAGACGTCACCAACACAGCAGCAATTGCTGCAAACGTCTGAACAGCACGGGCGCAAAGACAGACCGCAGTAAGAAGGAAAACACTGCGGACGACCCGGGAGACCCGAGCCCTGAAAACAGGGAACGAAGGAACCGGATCAACCACAGCGCATCCCCAGGCACGGCACGCTGGCAACAGCAAAAAGCACAACTGGACAACACAGGACGCACCCCCCGGCCAAACCAAACCAGTACCAATACCCCAAGAACCCCTCCGGAAAGCAGCCGTCTCGACCGTCGCCAGGACAGAGAAAGGCTGCACACCAATAAAGCTACCACCAGTACCAAAGAGGAGGAAACTGAAACCGAAGGGGCTACCACAAACTGAGGGGAAGAGAAGAAGGCACCCTGAACAAGGACCAGGATGGCTCAGGCGACTCATGAGCAGGCCGGAGGGGAAACAAAACGCGAGAAGACGTAATAAACGTCATAGTCTCCAAGACGAAGCTCGCAGGTGGGACACCGTCAACAAAGCCACCTGAACACCATAAAGATGGCGATACCTGCGTCAAAACACCAGACGCGAAGAGCCACAGAGAAGGCCGAACCAGGCACGGACAGGACCGATTCGGCCTGCTGAAAGAGGCGAAGCCTCAGGAAAAACGCCCCGGGTACGGACACCTATCAAGCAGCGTCTGAAAAGAAGGCCGGGCCGGCCACAGTGGAACCATAAGGACTGTTCTCGTGGGAATGGGCTGCAACTGAGCCAGAACCCGAAGCAACAGCTGGACCGGGAGAAGAGGTACAGGTATCCCCCACCTCGACCAGGCCTGCCGAAAGCCTCCACCGTGAAGTCCTCGCAGGTGGGAAGGGCGCCACAAAACGGGCGACGCCTAGACCACGCCGACCCGAAGACGTCCATGGCCATGAGTCCAGAAGCCCAACAGAGCCAACAAAACGCATCGGCGACGACTGGCCAACCCACGAAGAGGAATGAACCGAGACAGCTGTCCACCAGGACGCAGGACACACCCCGGACACGAACCACACGGTTAACCAAACCCCCTGTGGTTCCGGCAAGAACCACCGGAGAACAGTCCAAACAGAGCTGAATGGGAGAGTACTTAGTGACCCAAACCCTCCGAAGCGCAAACCAGACAGCCATGAACACCTGAACCGGGCTGTGAGCCCGACGGACAGACAGACTCCATCAACCTCGGCCGACCTGGTGAGCACTGGTCACAAAGCCCCAGCCGAGAGACGACCCGTCCGTGAACACATCGAGCGAAGGCTCGGGGAGCCGCCAAGGCACGGAACCCCGAAAACCCCAAAGAGGAAGCTGGTGACGCAGCACCAACACCAGATCCCCAGAGGAACCCAAGGAATGCAAGAGGCGGAAGTGGAGTCTCCGTAGGAACCAACCGACGCCGGAGCCAAACCCACTCCGCGGGCAGACAAGCACGCCGAAGTGCAAACTCCCACACAACCGCCCAAGCAACCGCTGAGCAACCCGGGACCCCCTCCTGAACAGCCAAAGGCGGGACCACAGCCACAGTAACACTTCTGGAGGGAAGACAATGAGGGGCCCAAGAGCCCGAAACAAGGCCCAGGTCCGAACCCGGGACGGAAACAGAAGGTAAAACCTCCAGATCACCAGGAAACCAAACCCAGCGATCTGGAAAGAACCATCCCCTGGCGAGCAGACAAGCGGACTGACTGGGAGCCCACTCCAGCCAGTCGTCGAGGTAGGCCAGACACCGAATCTCAGACGCAGACAGGGCACTAAGATCCGGTAAAGATGCAAAGAGTACACAAAGTGCCCTTCACAAAATAGGGAATGCAATAAAAACAGCAAACCTGAAACCCCACCACCAAAGCATTGTATGACAATCATATGAAGACATATTATGACACATGACAATCATTATATGACAATATGACAATTATAATCAAAGCATTATATGACAGAGTGCTGGGAAGACGGGACACCGAGAGTAGCTCTCATCCTGTAACTACACTTAGGTAAGTACACATAGGTAATTACCAACCGTGCTAGCCCCAGAAAAACTGGAGAGGAACGTGCCAAGAAGTGACCTGGAGGTCCAGGTCCACCATCCATGCACCCGGCCCGAACAGAATCCGAACAGGAGACAACAGTCCTCCGAGCAGGGCAGAGGATCCAGGGCGCAGACGGAAGTAGTCCAGAAGAACTGCAGACTGGAAAAGCTCATGACTGCAAAGAGCAGACGGGAAGCCCAGAAGGATGGGGCGGATCGACCACGCCCCACGAAGAGGAAATGACGAAGCGCAGGGAAGAAGCCCACCCCGCCAGCTCTGAACCCCCCCCAAGGGGGAGAAGCCGTCCTCCGACGCCAGCAGAGGCCGGAAGACAACCCAAAGCGCCCACCAACAGCGGGACCAAGCGAGAGGCAACAGAGCAAGCTGCTCCCCCAGCGCCCAGCCAACAGAGAAGGGAACAGAACCCCTTCAGAAAGAAAAAGTACACTACCGAAGTCATGAGGAGAGACTACGGGAATGAAACCACACTTCGCTGGAAGAGGAAGTGAGGGGAGACCTGATCACCACATACAAGATACCCAAGGGAATCGACAGGGTTGAGAAGGACAGGAAACGTAACACAAGGGGCACACGCACTAGGGGACACAGGTGGAAACTGAGTACCCAAAAGAGCCACAGATAGAATTAGTTTTTTTTTTTTTTTTTTTTTTTTTTGAGTGTCAGAATGGGAACGGGAAAGCACTAAGAAGTAATGTGGCGACTCCTCACACAAGTAACGAGGCTGACCCCCATACAATGTCACATGTAGACATGACAGAGCCCAAGAGGCACAGGAACCAATACACCTGTTGACGGACGGTTGAGAGGCAGGACCAAGGAGCCAGAGCTCAACCCCCACAAGCACAACTAGGTGAGGACATATATTGTAAAAGCACAAGCCGCCGACTAGTGGCAAAGAGCACTACGCCGGCCAGGCAAAGAAGGCACAAAACTGCATCAAAAGGCCCACCTCGACAGCAAAACCACAAAGACCCAGCACAACCACAACATGTGCCAAGACCCAAAAAGCTCAGTCTGCAAGCCAGGAAGACCCCGGAACCCCAAAAGGCAGAACCGGGTCACACGAGGAAACAAAGTCCCCTGAACCCACAAAAGGGGGCCCAAGAGGAAGAAACCTCCAGAACGAAACCAAGGAACCCAAAGGAACCCAGAATCGAACTAGGGGGAGCCCAAACCACCACATTTGCCGGCGGAGAACACCACTAAAAGGCAAAGCACAGACCCCAGCAGAACGCCCTGGGAAAACGGTCCCAACAGACCGAAAACCGAGGGGCAAGGTGTGGGAGCAAGCATACCAGCCAGGGGCACTGAGCCTAAACCCAGAGGCTCAGACCCAAAATCAACACCCAAACGTTCCCAGAAGAACAGGCAACGGCAAGAAAACACCAGAAAACAAAGAAACGACAACAGGAGAACAAAAACCCTGCAAATTTTGTGAAAACTCACCAGAGACGCTCGCTCGCACACCCAGACGCATGTAAACAAACCGCAACGCCGCCCTGGTGGCCACGCCGGGAAACCGGCAGACGAAAATGGCCGCCAGCAGGGGCTGTGACTGACGCTTAATACACAAAAACACGCCAGTAAATGTGGGAAGCTAGCAGACTGGAAGGGCGAAAAAAAAACGACGCCCAACAGCAGAAAAACCCCCGAAGGGGCAAAACCGCCCCAGAACTGCTAGTAGGCATCCCCCACAGCCCCGGGAACCAACAACAGAGGCCCCGGGGCAGAGCCGGCCTCCAAGCCCTCCGCCCTTAAAGAAAAGCAAGAGCCCATGGGAAAGGCAACAAGAAAGGGCCGCTGGTAAGACCCAGAAGCCTTGGCAGGAGGCACAGGCTCAAACCTCCGTCCCCAACCCGAACGGGGCATCCCCCGAAAACCGCCCGAGTCTCTGCCGCAACTGAACCCCGCCCCGACCCCGAAACCCGCAGACGGTCCGGAGCCGGGAACATGGAGAGAAAGGGGCGAGCAGCACCTAACCAAACGGGGCGGCCACGGGGCATTCGAGTGGGAAACCAACCTAGCATGTTGCAGCAACCTAACCTAGCTTGCAACACGGATGCCGCCTGTACTCTGAACAGTAATAACATCAGGAGAGTACTGGAGAACAAGCAGAGAATCACTCGCAAGACTCCGGGTCAAGGTGTCAGTGACCCAACAGGCAGCATGACGGAGGTAAAAATGGCGACTGTCTCCCGGAGACAAGGGAACAGCAACCAACGATCCCGTTCAAGACGGGTTGGAACCCGGAAGACACATTCAATGGTCCCCCGAGCCCAGACAGGGGTTTCCAGGGCCCGTAGGGTAACAACTACGGGAAGCCCGGGCAAGGTGTTGCTAACCGGTTAAGAAACCCAAACATAACAAGAGGGTAGATTATAGCACTGAAAACCCCCGAGACGTGTACAAGCACGGGGGCCTAGCAGAGGGCCGCCAAACACTACCAGTGGAACTATAACCACCTTAGGCAGACCCCCACCAGGCAAGAAATGAAAAACAAAAGAAAAACCCCGCAAAAGTACACCGTCTCCAGAGGCAACAGAAACCGGCCGCCGCATAGGTGGCAGGCTGCGCAACACCTTGACGCCCTAACCAGCACAATACCAATCCCTACCCAGGGCCAAACAAGGGCCCCAAGCCCCAGCTGGCCCCAAGGGCGAGGCAAATGCCGAGCAGCAAGAACCTCTACGGGAATGGTTCCCGAACGCCCCAGGGAAGATAACCCTGGAACGCAAGGGCAGTACTCACAGGGCGCTTAGGGAAGTCAGCCACTAAGCACATGCAGCCCCGGCACTGATGAAGTACTCCTGGCCACCGCACACCACAACACACGGCAGTGAACGCCACACAAGGCAAACACCGCCTAGGAAACTGAGGCCAGAGAAGCGTCAATCCCGGTTGACATTAGCGAACGAACTGAAGCTTGGCAGCCGGCGCGGTAGGTCCGGGGCTCCCCCCTCCCCCTCCCGGGGTGGGGAGGGCTGCGCGGACGATCGGCGCGGCAGTAAAGTGTGATGTTTGCTTGTTTGCTTGTTTCCTTGGGATTGTAGGGAGTTTTCTACCTCTCTGTTCGGTTTTTGTTGTAGTTTCTTACCATGTGGGGTTTGTTTTGTTACGCCTACCTTTCTGGGTGCCTAACCCCGGTCGATGGCAGATAAGGAAAACCCCCAACCATATGGGGTTTTCCAGGGCCATTGCTCCCTGAAACCTCTCTGAAGGGGCCAGGTTCTGGCGCTGGTCCCTGGTAGGTCTGAACTCCTTAGCTAATGTCCCGGTCTAACATAACACACATTAGCCCGATAAGCTCCAGGGAGCCGTAGGGGCTCCCCACAGAAAAAAGAGATAAAAAGGGGGGAACATGGCTGAAAAAGCAGCACAAATACAATTCTGTCGACAAACAGCGTCATTTAAAAAAAAAAACAGACATTGGTTGACAATAGAGGGGTAAGGTAGGTTACAGGGAATTTATTAGGTATAGCTTCGTTTTTATACCACTTGTATAGTTTAACTGTGACTTGGACACAATCTCTGAAGCAGCAAGACAACCAACCCTTGGTTTCTCTGCGAATAACTAAAAAAACAGCGTTGAATGTAATGAAATGCCATTTTCTGGGTGAAACCCAGCATAAACCGCCTTTCCTACATTCTCGATTCACAATCTGAGATCCTAGGTTTGATCCCAGATGGGATAAAAATGTTTGGGTCCATTTTCTTTCAAATGATACCTCTGTTCATCTAGCAGTATATATGGAGTCGCAACTATTAAGGGCATTAAAGTTGCTGGAAAAGCATCGTGTAATAGTGGGTTTGTTAATACGTATTACTCTTCTCCCTACAACTGTACACTACTCCTATGTTTTTTATACAAATTCTTCTGAATTATCATTATTATTATTATTATTAGCTCGACCTGGTGGGCGAGGGTGGACCTAGATACATGGGAAAGTATAAGCTTCCTGTCCCCCAATCATGGGAATGCAATAATATTAACAGACTTACCCATGGAATAGCTGGCCTGGAAGCCCTTGCCACGGCCTCGTTGACTGGTGTGGAGGATGAGGGTCAAGGAGGACCCATAGGACACATAGGACAGTCTCTCCACCTCCCCGGAGGACACACTCCCACACAGACGCACCGACTCGCTCTCATCACTACCTAATATGACCTGCAAGTAGAGGTGTTCAGTGTGTAAACAAAATATGATAAGTCACAGTCTCATTCACAAATATCCGCTGAATACTATGGAGCCTGGAACCTGAGCCAACAAAATGGCAGTAAACTATTATGTGGGATAAATAATGATGGTCAAGTTGATATAAAAGTAAATGAGAATTTTGGGCTCGAGACTCCAAGGATGCCTAGGGCTGACTGTTGTAAATGTGAGAACTCGATTCTTGTGAGGGATTCGAACCATGGAAAGCCAGGTTTGCATTGATGCTCCTATTCTCTCTAGTAAATGCGATTGATTTGATGAAATTGAACTCGGATCTGTTACTATTGCTGGTGATGTTGGGAGGTTGCTCTGTTGGGTAAATACCCCTAATGTTCAATCTCCTAATGATCTGCATGGTGCAGTAGTCTAGAGTACTGGTTATGTCAACGGTGTGTGAAACACCTGGCTATCCATGGTTCCCTCACAGGAGATGAGTTTTTTGTATATTATAGTGTGTCTTTTATATATATATATATATATATATATATATATATATATATATATATATATATATATATATATATATATATATATATATATATATATATATATATAATATATATACATATATATATATATATATGCATCATATATATATATATATATATATTATATATATATATATATATATATATATATATATATATATATATATATATATATATATATATATATATATATATATAATGTTAATAAATGCCATGGAATGTGGAATAGGAGAACATAGACCCCCACACAACCTATATATTATGTGAGAAATCTTTAAAGAATTCTGATAAAGAATTGTGATAAAGAAAGAGATCTAGGGGTGGTTCTAGATAGAAAACTATCACCTGAGGACCACATAAAGAATATTGTGCGAGGAGCCTATGCCACGCTTTCTAATTTCAGAATTGCTTTTAAATACATGGATGGCAATATACTAAAGAAATTGTTCACGACTTTTGTTAGGCCAAAGCTAGAATATGCAGCGGTTGTGTTGTGGTACCCATATCTTAACCCTCAAACCGCGCATATCATATATAAATGATATCAGTGACAAAACCGAAACCGCGCACATCATTTATATATGATTTCGTGTCTAGCGGTATAATTTAAACTCCCCGCCTGGGATAGGGGCAGCTATAGTACTGTGAGAGCGTCAGTATTGAGCAAGCCACCAAGGCTGGCGCACGCAGCACGAGCTCACAGCACCGCTGTTCAGCTTGTGACCACAGCATCGCCTACAAATACCATAATATATATGATACTGCTATTATTTAGCAGTGAGAGTATTACTAAAGCCCCCTGACTGTGATAAAACTGACCAGGATTCTGATAATAGCAGGACTGTGGTGATATTTAGCGCTGTGCTCCATGGAGGGAGGCGTAAGGCTGTGCGAGGGAGGGTTGTGGCGTCGTCTTCTGACTGTGTGTGGCCACCATTTATTGACTGCACTCACCATACCAGCTTAGTGGTTCGATATGGTGAACACAAATGTAGATACTTATATATAACGTGTGTATATAGGGTATAAACAGCAAGAGGCGTAGGTTGGGAGCCGCCATTTTGGTGAGGGCGGTGGCGTCGTCTGGACGACTTATCATGTTGTTTACTGGTGACCACAATAGTCTTTGGGCACCATACCAGCTTATTTGTTCAGGTATGGTGAATAAAACAGGTAGATACTTATATATAATATGTGTATATAGCGTAATAACACCACAAACAATATTGTTGAAGGACAAATATTAGTGCGTCTGGCCTTGAGGGCGGCCGCCGATTAGCTGACTGTGTGAGTAGCTATGTCTTTGTGGCCTTTACTCACCATACAAGCTTAGATGTACAGTTATGGTGAACAAAACATGTAAATACGTATATATAACATCTGTGTATAGTGAATAAATACAGAAAGAGTATTGTAGGAGGTGAATGAGGGTGAGTGAGGTGGTGTTGAGGGAGGGAGTGGCAGTGAGTGGCTCGCTGGTGTTTGGCGGTCACTCCTCGTTGCTTTTTGACTCACAAGACCAACTTAGTAGTTCGTTATGGTGTACAAAACATGCAAATACTTATATATAACCTGTGTATATAGTGTAACAACAGCAAAACTATTTGTTTATTGTTTTATGAACATAATAATTGAATCACTAATATGCACACCATAATTTTGAGTACAGCGATGGTTCACACATTTTATAATATAAATATACCACAATCCACCGTATGGAATAATATTATTGCAAAAAACCTAAGAAAAAATCAGAGACATTGAAATAATTAGGTAATAATATATTTGTGGCAACTGCCGTCTGACAGCTCAGGCGGAGTAGACCTCATCTGGCGAAGGCTCTGCCAACGCCCCTTTTTTGCCACACTTCCCTACCCTATTGCGGCTAAAATATGCCACCTACGATTTTTTTGTTATTTTTTCCGTGATCAGGGAACAAAAATGAACACTTCTATAAGACGAAAGAATTTTTTGGAATTTTTTTTTTTTGTTGCGCCTGTGGGTGTGAATTCAATTTGGGCCCCTAGCGGTTTGAGGGTTAAAGTGCGCATCAAGTCATATGACGTGTTGGACGTTGTTCCAGTCAAATGCGTATCACGCCATATGACGTGTTGGAGTACTACGCAAGATTTAAACAGCCCGCAGATACACGGGGTGCACCACACCTTCATCAGGGCTCTTGTAAACAGACGCCATTTTTTTTTTTAAATTGTGGGCCAAACTCCCGGGTATTATTGGCCTCAGTATTGAGTGAGCAACCAAGCCCGACGCACGCAGCATGAGCTAACAGCACTGCTGTTCAGCTTGTGACCACAGCATCGGCTAAAAATGCCAAAATATACTTGTTCATGCTATTATGTAGCGATGATATTATTACAGAAGACCCCTGACTGTGATAAAACTGACCAGGGTTCTGATAATAGCAGGATTGTGGTGATATTTAGCGCTGTGCGCCATGGAGGGAGGAGTAATGCTGTGGGAGGGAGGGTGGTGGCGATGTCTTTTGACTGTGTGTGGCCACCTTTTATTGACTGCACTCACCATACCAGCTTAGTGGTTCGCTATGGTGAACACAAATGTAGATACTTATATATAACGTGTGTATAGAGGGTATAAACAGCAAGAGAAGGTTTGGAGCCGCCATTTTGGTGAGGGCGGTGGCGTTGTGCAAACGACGCCACCGTGCAGACGACGGTGTTGTTTACTGGTTACAACGATGTTCTTTGGGCACCATACCAGTTTATTTGTACAAGTATGGTGAATAAAACAGGTAGATATTTATATATAATGTGTGTATATAGCGTAATAACACCACACAGTATTGTTGGAGGAGAAATATTAGTGCGTCTGGCCTTGAGGGCGGCAGCCATCATTCAACTGTGTGAGGTCTTACGTCTTTGTGCCTTTACTCACCATACAAGCTTAGATGTACAGTTATGATGAACAAAACATGTAAATACTTATATATAACATCTGTATATAGTGAATTATAGCAAAAACAGTATTGTGGGAGGAGAATGTGGGTGAGTCAGATGACTTGAGGGAGGGCGGGAGTGGTTGGCTGGTACACGGCGGTCACTCCTCGTTACTTTTTGACTCATAATAGCTACTTAGTGGTTCGTTATTGTGAACAAAACATGCAGATACTTATATATAACCTGTGCTTATAGTGTAATAACCGACAAAGATTTGTTCACTGATTGATGAACATAATTGAATCAACAATATGCACACCATATTTTTGAGTACAGCAATGATTCATTCATTTTATTATATAAATATATCAAACTACACACTATTGAATAATATTACAGCAAAAAAACTATGAAAAATCAGAGACATTGAAATAATTAGGTAATTATCTCTTTGTGGCAACTCCGGCCTGACAGCTAGCGATCAATATATATATATATATATATATATATATATATATATATATATATATATATATATATATATATATATATATATATAAATATATATATATATATATATATATATATTATTAAATATGACCGAAAAAGTAAGATTAATAATTCTAACACGAATTTTCTCAATCTTTCGTACATTACGCTTCACTGTTGGAGGTAAATCAAAAATCACTTCTCCAAAATTCATTTTTATTTCTAGTCTGACGCGACACGGGCGCGTTTCGTAAAACTTATTACATTTTCAAAGACTTCACAAATACACAACTGATTAGAACTTGCGTTTCTCTGATTTTATATCTACATTTGAGTGAGGTGGGAAGGGTGATGTGGCATTAACACAAGACAGAACAATAGGGGATATTAATAGGGTATTAAAAGTATCAACACAAGACAGAACAGAAACAATGGGTATTGAATAGAAGTGTTTGTAGAAAGCCTATTGGTCCATATTTCTTGATGCTTCTATATTGGAGCGGAGTCTTGAGGTGGGTAGAATATAGTTGTGCAATAATTGGCTGTTGATTGCTGGTGTTGACTTCTTGATGTGTAGTGCCTCGCAAACGTCAAGCCGCCTGCTATCGCTGTATCTATCGATGATTTCTGTGTTGTTTACTAGGATTTCTCTGGCGATGGTTTGGTTATGGGAAGAGATTATATGTTCCTTAATGGAGCCCTGTTGCTTATGCATCGTTAAACGCCTAGAAAGAGATGTTGTTGTCTTGCCTATATACTGGGTTTTTTGGAGCTTACAGTCCCCAAGTGGGCATTTGAAGGCATAGACGACGTTAGTCTCTTTTAAAGCGTTCTGTTTTGTGTCTGGAGAGTTTCTCATGAGTAGGCTGGCCGTTTTTCTGGTTTTATAGTAAATCGTCAGTTGTATCCTCTGATTTTTGTCTGTAGGGATAACGTTTCTATTAACAATATCTTTCAGGACCCTTTCCTCCGTTTTATGAGCTGTGGAAAAGAAGTTCCTGTAAAATAGTCTAATAGGGGGTATAGGTGTTGTGTTAGTTGTCTCTTCGGAGGTTGCATG